GGACGTCTTGGCGTGGTAGGAGGATAATGAGGACACACCAGCTGTAATTAAAGCCATCTCTAATTCTCAAGATAATTAACTAATTCTTCTGTCTGGAGAGCAGGGCGGTAGCGGTGCCCTCATCTCTCCATTCCACGCAGAACAGCAGTGGATGATATTTTAATGCACCGCTTTAATTACGGAGCGGCTCGTTAGGGTGGTCAGCAGTGATGATGGCTGACATGGTTTTTAATTGGGCTGCCCTCTAACGAGGGCTCTGCGCAGCCCTGAGCCTGGTGGGCCACGGGGGAGCCCTGGCTTCGTTACGAACCACCGCACCCAAAACCATTCTGAAATCCACAGTTTTGGGATTTCCTTGTTTTCCTCCATCTCTTCTTCCTGTAATTCTGTAAACCATGAGAGGAAATCCCCAAATCCGGAATTTTGGGATTTTCTTGTCGTCCTCCGCCTCTTATTCCAAGAAATTACGAACCATGGGGCCAAATCTGAAGCGATCCTAAAATCCAGATTTTGGGGATTCCCTTCTTATCCTCCACCTCTTATTCCTAGAAATTATGAACCATCAGGACAAATCCAAAACCATTCTAAAATCCAGATTTTTGTGACTTCCTTGTTGTCCACTGTCCCTTATTCCCGTAATGCTAGAAACCACCAGGGAAATCAAACTATTTATTAATGGTAAATTGAGTTTTCTTAAATGGCAAATTGAATTCTCCCCCTTTCCTCCCCCTTTCCTCCCCCTTTCCTCCCCCTTTCCTCCCCCTTTCCTCCCCCTTTCCTCTCCCTTTCCTCTCCTTCTTTTTGATGACGATGAATCAAATTACTTCTTTATGGCAAATTTGTTCATTTTTGGAGGTGTTAACCATTGGGTGTGGGTTAAATTCTGTTTTTTGGTGGTGTAACTGTTGGGTCCATCTCAACTTGGCTCTGTTTGATGCTGTTGACTATTGGCGATGGGTTAAGTTGGGTTGGGACCATCGGGTCCATCTCAACTTCATTTTTTTTTTTGGTGGCATTGACTCCTTTGTCCGTCTGTAGGTGACTTTTTTTATGGGACTGACTTTTGGGTGTGGGTTGAGTTGGGTTTCTTGGTGGTGTTGACCACTGGGTCCAACTTCATTTTTTGATGCTATTGACTTTTGGGCGTGGGTTGAGTTTTTTGATGGTGTTGACCGTCGGCTCCGTCTCAACTTGGATTTTTTGGGTGATGTTGGCTATTGGGTGTGGGTTGAGTTATATTTCTTGGTGGTTGGACCATTGGGTCCAACACAACTTCATCTTTTTGCTGGCGCTGACTATTTATTGAAACTTTACAGCGTCCTTTGGGTGCTGCTGATTATTGCGCGCAGCTCAACTTGGGTTTCTTTGGTGCTGAGCTTACTGGGTCATGATGCCATGCCAAAAAAAATGCTGTCATGCAGGGGAGGGGAGGGGGGAAAAAAAGTGATGTCGTGCAAGAAAAGTTGATTTCGTGCCAGAAAATGCCTTTTTGGGGGCTTTGAGGCCGTGTGCCGAGCTGGTGGTTTCTATCTGCTGCGTTCAATGGATCTGCCTGAGACCAACTGGGAGATTTCCTGCGGGCGGATCCGTGGTGGGTGCAGATGTTTGGATTAACGGCTTAATTAGCTCGCTAACTGCTAATGGCGTGTGTTGTACTGAGGCACTGGGCTGACCTGGCATTGAGAGAGAGGAAATAAATAGAGCATGTTGAGAAAGGGAAAGGGGGAGTGAGGGGAAGGGGAGAGGAAAAGGGAAGGAAGGGGAAGGAAAAGGGGAAAGAAGCGGGAGGGGTAATGAAAGGGAAAGGGGAAGAAAAAGGGGAGAGGGAAGGAAAAGGGGAGAGGGAAAGGGGAGGGGAAGGGGTAAAGAGAGGGAAAGAGGAAGGAAAAGAGGAAGGGCAAGGAAGGGAAAGAGGGGAAGGGGAGGGGGAAGGGGAAAGGAGGAGAGAAGGGGAAGGGAAAAGGAAAATGAGAGGAGAAAGCAAAGAGGAAGGGGGAAGGAAAGGGGAAGGAGGGAAGAAGGAAGTGGGAAGAAGGAAAGGAAGAGTGGAAGGGAAGGCAAGGAAGGGGAAAAGAAAAGAGAGGGGAAGGGAATGGAAAGAGGAAGGAAAGGGAAGTGGGAATGGGAGGGGCAGGAGAAAGGAAGGGGGAAGGAGAAGAGGAAGGGGAATGGAAGATGGGAAGGAGGAAGGGAAAGGGAATGGGAAGGGGAAGTAGAAGAGAAGGGAAGGAAAAGGAGGAGAAAAGAAAGGGGAAGGGAAGGATAAAAGAAAGGGAAAAGAGCAGGGAATGAGAAGGGGTAGAAAGGGAGAGGGAAACGAGAAGGGGAAAGAAGGGGGAAAGGGAAGGAAGGAGAAAGAGGAGGAGGAGGAAAGGAAGGAGAAGAAAGGGAAAGGAGGAGCGAAGGGGAAGGGAAACACACACACACACAAAAAAAGAAAAACCAGAAAAAAATAAGGACATATTTGGATATGAACATTTGTTCTCAGCGCTCAGCGGGCGCTGACGAGGAATGCAGACGCCCAGCAGCAAATGCTTCTCACTGCTAAAAATATTCCTATCTCCAAGCACTGCTGGCTGAGGGAAGTGAAAAATAAGGAAATAACAAAAGGAAACGGCCTTGGGGAGCGTGGGGAAAAAAGGATCCTTCCTAACGCGGAGTGGAGAAAAAGGATAAAGGTCTTGAAGTCGAGTGGGAGAAATAATGGAATTCTTTAGATTGAATGGAAAAAATAATGGAATTCTTCAGATAGGATGGGAAAAATAATGGATTCCTTAGATTGAATGGAGAAAATAATGGAATTCTTCAGATAGGATGGGAAAAATAATGGAATTCTTTAGATTGAATGGAAAAAATAATGGAATTCTTGAGGTAGGATGGGAAAAATAATGGAATTCTTTAGATTGAATGGAAAAAATAATGGAATTCTTTAGATTGAATGGAAAAAATGGAATTCTTCAGATAGGATGGGAAAAATAATGGAGTTCTTCAGATAGGGTGGGAAAAATAATGGAATTCTTTAAGTTGGATGGGAAAAATAATGGAATTCTTCAGAAAGGATGGGGAAAATAATGGAATTCTTTAGATTGAATGGAAAAAATAATGGAATTCTTCAGATAGGATGGGAAAAATAATGGAATTCTTTAAGTTGAATGGGGAAGATGATTGAATTCTTTAGAAGGAATGGGAGGAATAGTGGAATTCTTGAGGTAGGATGGGAGAAATAATGGAGTTCTTTATGTAGGATGGGAAAAATAATGGGATTATTGAGGCAGAATGGGAAAAATAATGGATTTATTTAGACAATGGAAAAAGATAATGGAATTCTTTAGATTGAGTGGGATAAACAATAAAACTTTTTAGATTGAATGGGAAAAAAAATGAAATCCCTTAGAAGAGATGGAAAAAAAATAATAAATTATTTAGATTGGGAAAAATAATGGAATTCTTTAGATAGAGTGGGAAAAAAAATACAACTTTTTCGACTGAGTGGGATAAATAATGAAATGATTGAGAAAGAATGGGGGGGAATAATCACTTCTGAGCAATTTTTGGAGGATTTTGAGCATTTTGGCAGTAATCTGTGCATTCCTGGGTGATTTGGGGCACTTTTGGGGGCGAGAAGAAATCCTTTGCAAAGGGAAAATCCATTGCACGTGGAATTTTTTCCCTTCTGTTCCGGATCTGTGCGTGGTCCCATCGTTATGGAATTAATAATTATTATTATTTTCATTATTATCCTTTTTTTTTTCTTCTTTTTTTTTCTTGCCATGCAGGTTTAGGGGTAATGGAACTTTTTGCTCATTGTGGGCTCCAGAATCATCCATTTCAGCTCCCCTTAATTACTTTTTTTAACAGCAGAATGGGCCAAGCGCGGCTCTGGTGGCCATTAACCCATTAAAATGCCATTAATATCTGCTAATGGCAAACCAGGGGAGCTGCAGCACTGCACAGAGCTCTGATTTTTGGTTAATTACAGCTCCGTTAATCACCGGCGTTGAGAACAACTGGGTGCTGTGGGGGGAAATGCAGAAACAGCGGGAGCAGAATGCGAACCAGCACCAGAAATTCTGTTTTCCCCTTTTCGATTTTTATTTTCCCAACTTTTCCTTCTTTCCCTGTTTTCTGTTTTTTTTTTCCACTTCCTTTTCCCCCTTTTTTCCCTTCCCTTCCCCCTTTTTTCCCTTCCCTTCCCCCCTTTTTTCCCCTTCCCTTCCCCTTTTTTCCCCTTCCCTTCCTTTCCCCCTTTTTCCCCTTCCTTTCCTCCCTTTTTTTTCCCTTCCCCCCTTTTTCTTTCCCTTTCCCCATTTTTTTTCTCTTTTCACCCTTCAATTCTTTCCCCAATTTCTCCCTTTTCTCCCCATTCATGATACAAATAGAAATTTACAACATGGAAAGAAAACTACAATGCAAATACAAAATGGTGACACAAATGCAACATTAATTACGACATAAATAGAAAACGATGATGGAAACAGGAAATTAATTACGACATAAACAGGAAATGATGACATAAATACAAAATGGACGACGATGTAAATAGGAAATGATGATGGAAATAGAAAATTATGGTGTAGACACAACACAGTGAAGTCAAAACGACGACATAAATAGAAAATGATGACTGAATAGAAAATGATGACTTAAAAACAAAGTGAACGATGGTGGAAAGTAGGAAACGATGGCATAAAATAGGAAACAATGGTGGAAAATAGGAAATGATGGCATGAAATAGGAAACAGTGGCATGAAAATAGGAAATGATGTAAATACAAAGTGAATGATGGCGGAAAATAGGAAATGATGGCATAAATACAAAGTGAATGATGGCAGAAAATAGGAAACGATGGCAGAAAATAGGAAATGATGGCATAAATACAAAGTAAGCGATGACATGAAATAGGAAACGATGGTGGAAAATAGGAAATGATGAAAAATAGGAAATGATGGCATAAATACAAAGTGAACGATGGCAAGAAATAGGAAATGATGGCATAAAATAGGAAATGATGGCATAAAATAGGAAATGATGGCATGAAATAGGAAACAATGGCATAAATAGAAAGTGAATTATGACATAAATGGGAGATGATGACATGGATAGGAATGATGACATAAATACAAAGTGAATTATGACATAAATGGGAGATGATGACACGGACAGGAACGATGATGTAAATGGGAAATAATGACAACATAAATTATTCTATCTATGCCAATGGAAGCAAAACGACAGCGTAAATCCTAAAGGATAACCCTAACCTACAAAACCACCCCATAGACACAGCACAGAGTGCGTCACGCCGCCCCATAACAGCATTTCCCACTGCTCTCCCCCCAGGTCTGCCCTTCTCCTACGATGGACAGGCTGCTCGTCTGCCTGCTGGTTGTCAGCGCGGCGGTGAAGGCCATGCTGTGCCCCAAACGCTGCATGTGTCAGAACCTCTCCCCATCCTTCACCATCCTCTGCACCAAAACGGGGCTCCTCTTCGTGCCCCCCAGCATCGACCGGAGGACGGCGGAGCTGCGGTTGATGGACAACTTCATCACCACGCTGCGCCGGAAGGATTTTGCCAACATGACCAACCTCATCCATCTGACCCTGTCGAGGAACACCATCAGTCAGATCATGCCTTACGCCTTCTTTGATCTTAAGGGCCTCCACGCATTGCACCTGGACAGCAACCGGCTGACGTACATCAACGAGGACCATTTTAAAGGGTTAATTAACCTCCGCCATTTGATCCTGAGCAACAACCAGCTGAGCTACATCTCCCCGGGATCGCTGGACGACTTCATCGAGACCATCGAGGACCTGGATCTGTCCTACAACAATCTGGTCAACGTTCCTTGGGAAACGGTCGCCAAACTCTCCAACGTCAACACGGTCAGCTTGGACCACAACCTCATCGAGTTCGTCCCGGAGGGGATCTTCTCCAACCTGCACAAGTTGGCCCGCTTGGACATGACCTCCAACAAGCTGAAGAAGATCCCTCCGGATCCGCTGTTTTCCAGGATTCCCGTCTATGCCAAATCCAAAGGGTCTCCGCTGACGTCGCTGGTGCTGAGTTTTGGGGGGAACCCTCTGCACTGTAACTGCGAGTTGGTCTGGTTGAGGCGTCTCACCAGGGAGGACGATTTGGAGACCTGCGCTTCGCCGCCGGAATTGATGGGGAAATACTTCTGGTCCATCAAGGAGGAGGAATTTGTGTGTGAGCCCCCCATGATCACGCACCGCACCCCAAAGGTGGCCGTGAGCGAGGGGCAGAGCGTCTCCTTGAAGTGCAAAGCTGTCGGTGACCCCGACCCCTACGTCCGATGGATCGCGCCCGATGGGAAGCTGGTCTCCAACACCTCCAGGACGACGTCGTATGAAAACGGGACGTTGGATCTCGTGGGGACATCTTTGGGTGATAAGGGAACCTTCACCTGCATCGCGTCCAACGCGGCCGGGGAATCGACGGCGCCGGTGGAGTTGGTGGTGACGCCGTACCCCAACTTGGCCAACAGCACCAACTGTGAGAAGGAGGCGGAGAACGGCCCGTCTGACATCCTCATCTCGGCCAAATCGAGCTTTCCCAACGAGACAAAAGGGCCCCAGGAGAAGGCGGTGGTGGTGGGGGAGCTGACGTCGTCCTCCGCGCTCATCCAGTGGCCGTCCCAGCAGCACCTCCCTGGGATCCGCATGTTCCAGATTCAGTACAACAGCTCCTCCGATGAGATCCTCGTCTACAGGTAACCCCAATCCCTGGCTGTGCAAGCGAGGAGATGGCGGGGAATGGGAAGAGTTGGGGTGGGAGAGTGGGAAGTTAGGGGGAAACGCGGAATGTTCAATTGGGAGTGAGGAAGGTTAGAGGGAAACGTGGGGCGTTCAGGTGGGAGCGAGGAGAGTTGGAGGAAAATTGGAGACATGCAGAGAAAATTGAGAAAAATTAGAGGAAAAGTGGAGATATTCAGGTGGAAGTGAGAAAAATATCGGGAAATTGGAGATATTCAGGAAGGAGTGAGAAAAAGTAGAGCAAAAAAAGTGAAATGTTGAAGTGGAAGTGAGAAAAATAGAGTAATAATCGAGACACTTATGAGGGAGTGAAAAATGATAGAGGAAAAAATGAGATATTTACCTCAGTGAGGTGAAAGTGAGAAAAATATTGGAAAATTGGAGATATTCAGAGAAATTTGAGAAAAAAATTGAGGAAAATTGAGGTATTCGGGTGGACGTGAGTTAAAAACTGAGAAAAATGTGAAATATTGAGGTGGAAGAGAGAAAAGTTAGAGACAAATTGAAATATTGAAGTGGAAGTGAGAAAAATATCGGAGAATTAAGAGATATTCAGGAAGAAACGAGAAAAATTAGAGCAAAAAAGTGAAATATGGAGGTGGGAGCGAGAAAGGTTAGAAGAAAAAAAATGAGATATTTGGGTGGAATTGAGAAAAAAACATGAAAATTCAAGATACTCAGAAAAAATTGAGAAAAAATAGAGAAAAATTTGAGATATTCAGGGAGACGTGAAAATATTGGGGGGAAAGTGGCTCTTTCCAGTAAAAAGTTGAGGGAAAAAACTTGTGGGAAAAACAAAGCCATTGTTCGGTGCAAAATCTGGGGGGAAAAGTCCTTATTTTGGGCAAAATGTTGAGGAGTGTGTGTCCTTGTTGTGAGTAAATGCTTTGGGGAAAAAAGAAGTAATTATTTGAGCAAAAGAAGTTTTGGGGGAAAGCCCTTCTTTGGGGCAAATAAATTGGGAAAAGAAATCGTTGCTTTGAGCAAAAAAATTTGGGGGGATGTCCTCATTTTGAGGAAAAAAAAATGGGGAAAAAGGGGAAAAGAGGAAAGTGGGGAATGTGGGAGATACGTGGAAGTATGGAAATGTGAGCACTGGGTGAATTTTGGGTTCATTTTTGTCCTTTTTTTTCCCTTGTGGTGCTGTGGTCGTTGCGCTTCCCCCACTCTTAAGGGAATTTCTCTCTGAAAAACTCCAGATTTCGCCCAGTGCTCATAACAAGGATCCCAGGGATGGATTTCATGTTTTCTTCACCAAAAGATTTAGAAAACATCCCCCTCTCCACCAAAAAAAAAAAAAAAAAACAAGCAATTTTCTCCCATTGATTCCACCAAAAACATCGCAGTGTCTTGTGTGAGAATTTCATCATTCCACGTTTTCTGTCCCATGATTGAATTTCTGACATCAGAACTGAACGCCGTGAAAATACACGTTTTTTGCAACGGGGTTTTATGCTTCAAATGCTCTTTTTGCTGTCATTTTTTCCTTCTGTGGAGGTTCAGATCTCAGTGCCGTAATCCCTCTAATGAGCGGAGTGAGCTCAGCGACAGAATGGGCTCAAAAAAGAGAGAATCGGTTCATCAAAAAGAAAAAGGACAGAATGGGTTCAAAAAAGGACAGAATTGGGTCAGAGAAAGGCAGAATTGGGTCAAAAGAAAAAAAAAAAAAAGGCAGAGTTGGAGCAAATAAAGAAATTAAATACTGCAACCACGTAGCGTCGTCCTGTGGGCAGTGTCGTTCATGATGAACCATAAGTAATAATTGATTGTTAATCAGTAATTAGAATCTGAATGGGGAAAAAAAAATGCGTTTCAGTGTTGAGTGGTTTATGTCTTTTTTTTTTTTTATGGTGCGTTTTGTTGGTTTGGTTTGGGGGATTTTTTTTTTTTTTTTGTCCTTTCGGGGAATTTTTGTCGCTTTGGGGACTTTTTTGTCATGTTGAGGATTTTTTTTTTTTGTCCTGGGAATTTTTGATGTTTTGGGGATTTTTTTTTTTGTCATCTTTTGTCGTCGGTTTGATGAGTTTCATTGGTGGTTGTTTTGCGTGGTTTTTTGTTGTTGTTGTTGTTGTTGTCATTCTGGTGGTTGTTGATCTCCGCATGGGTGTTGTTCCGGGTTTTGTTGTTGCCTGGGTGCTGTTGGTTGTTGTTGGGTTGGGGATTTTGTTGGCTGTTGCTGTTGTTTGGGGGTTGTTTTGTTGTTGGGGAGGATTTTAAGCGGTTGTTGCATTGGGTGCCCTTGTTGGGTTGTTGTTGTGTTGGGAGTTTATGTCGGGTTGTTGTGTTGGGTGTTGTTATTGGTTTGTTGTGTTGGGGGTCCTTGTTGGGTTGTTGCTCTTTTGGGTGTCCTTGTTGGGTTGTTGTTGTGTTGGGAGTTTATGTCGGGTTGTTGTGTTGGGTGTCGTCATTGGTTTGTTGTGTTGGGGGTCCTCGTTGGGTTGTTGCTCTTTTGGGTGTCCTTGTTGGGTTGTTGTTGTGCTGGGAGTTTATGTTGGGTTGTTGTGTTGGGTGTCGTTATTGGTTTGTTGTGTTGGGTGTCCTTGTTGGGTTGTTGTTGCACTGGGAGTCGTTATTGAGGTGTTGCTCTTTGGGGGGTTGTTGTTGGGTTGTTGTGTCAGATGTCCTCGTTGGGTTGTTGCTCTTTTGGGTGTCCTTGTTGGGTTGTTGTTGCGTTCGGAGTCGTTATTGAGGTGTTGCTCTTTGGGGAGTTGTTGTTGGGTTGTTGTTCTTTTGGGGGTTGTTGGGCTGTTGTTTGGGGGGTTTCTGTTGGGTTTTGTTGTTGTTTGGGTGTGAAACGCAAACGAAAGGTGTCAAAGAAAAAAAAATGTAAACTATTTTGGGATAAAATAGAATTATATTGGGATAACAAAGTTATACTGGGATAAAATATATATTGGGATAACAATTATTTGGGGGCAAAACATATTAGGGGATAACAGTTATTTCGAAATGAAATAACTGATTTTTTATCTTGCGATAAATAGACTTGTTTGAGGATAAAACATGGTTATTTTGGAATAAAATATAATTATTTGAGGAAAACATACAGTTATTTTGGGATAAAATAGTGTTATTTGAGGATAAAGTGTCGTTATTTTGGAATAAAACGCCATTATTTGGGGACAACATCGTAGCAGCATTTTGGGATAAATTGTGAATGTTTCTGGAGGACTGAAAAAAAAAAAAAAATCACCAAAAGAAGCCCCCTAAAACGTTCTTTTTTTCAGTTCTTTATTGAAACTCCGTTTTGTTGGGTTTGGGTGGGATTTGTGAAGTTTCCAGGTGACACTTTTTTCTACCCAAACTTTTCGGTTGGTTCTCCCCAAAAACCAACAGCGCAACTGAAAAAAATGGGCAAACTGTCAAATCGATTGAATTCTTCACGATTTCAGCATTAGTGAAATAAAATGAATATTGGGAGGATTACACAAAACCACACATTTTCAGAAGGGGCTCCGTTCTGAGCTGCTCTCCCTCATTTGCAGACATTTCCATGAAATTTCCGATACACATCAAAATTGCTCATTTTTTCTCCAAAAAACGCAGCGAAGAATCCTCATCCATCAGAGCTCTGTGCTTTTCCTTACTCACACAGCTGAAAATCAGTCTGAAATTACCAGAAAAGACAAAAATAGACAATTCCAAGGGAGGGATTTGGTCCTCATTCAGGAGCGGTGCGGCAGATTTAGAACCATTTTCCCACTTTCTGTTCAATCACACGTGGGTCCATCGCAGCTGTAATGCGGCGCACACCACACGTAGCTCATTATGGTAATTAGTCACATTTCCATCCCAGCCCCTCTGCTTAGTCATCCCATAACAAAATATGATGAAAAGTGAGCGCTCGGCGGCGGCTGAATCACCCAAATAATGCAGATTTGGGGAAAACGGTGCTTTGCATAATTATTTGTCAGTTACTCCTCCCTCTTGCAGATGAGCAGAGCCCCATAGACAGGAATCCCATGGAGTGCTCTCAAATGGGGTTTCCCATTGGGAACCAATGGTTCCCAACTAATGGTTGGGTTGAAGGGACTTTAAAGATCATAGAACCACGGGATCCTGCCATGATTGGGTTGGAAGGGATCTTAAAGATCATAAAAACATGAAATCCTCAAAAGGTTGGGTAGGAAAAGCTCCTAAAGTCGTAGTACCATGAGATCCTACAGCGCTTGGGTTGGAGGGCCCTTTAGGTCATAGGTCCATGAAATTCTACAATAGTTGGGTTGGGAGGGATCTTAGAGATCATAGAACAGTGGGATCCTACAGTGGTTGGGTTGGAGAGACCTTGAGGGTCATAAAATCATGGGATCCTACTGTGATTGGGTTGGAGAGACCTTGAGGGTGATAAAACCATGGGATCTTACTGTGGTTGGGTTGGAGAGACCTTGAGGGTGATAAAACCATGGGATCTTACCGTGGTTGGGTTGGAGAGACCTTGAGGGTCATAAAACCATGGGATCCTCCAACGGTTGGGTTGGGGGGGACCTCTGAGGTCACAGAACCACGGGATCCCAGAAGATCGGGTTGGAGGGGACCTTAAAGCCCACCCAGCTCCAACCCGTGCGGCGGGCCGGTTACCAGCGAGTAGACTGAAGAGGAATCCGAAGGTTTGACCCGTTTGGATGTTTACTGTACGTATTCTCTCTTCCAGGATGATCCCAGCTGCTAGTAAATCCTTCTTCTTGACTGATCTGGTTGCAGGACGTGAGTACGACCTCTGCGTCCTGGCCGTGTACGACGACGGGCTGACATCTCTGACTGCAACCAGGGTGATCGGCTGCGTGCAGTTCACCACCCAGGAGGAGTACAAGCAGTGCCGTTCCCTCCACGCTCAGTTCCTCGGGGGCACCATGATCATCATCATCGGGGGCATCATCGTGGCGTCGGTGCTGGTCTTCATTTTCATCCTCCTGATGAAGTACAAAGTGTACAACAACCACCACAAAAACAAAGCAGCAAAAGTCAGCAACGTCTGCTCGCAAACCAACGGGAGCCACAGCGGCTCGATGGCGCGCTCCACCTCCAAGCTCACCGAGGGCTCCCACCAGGAATGCTCGGCATCCTCCAGCAAAGGGAAAGCTGTGTTGGACTCAGATTGTGACAAAGTGACTCCTCCAACCCACCCCACGTTCCTAACGACCGAGGCGTTATCCTAACGGCCCCGGGGTGCGAGGTGCTGCTGTGGGAACATTTTGATGCGAGTGGTTGTATTTTAAGCCTCACTACTATTGTCTATTTTTAAGATCAGATGGTTTCAAAGATATTTTTTTAATCTGTAAACAGTTCTCGCATTCTTAACTATTTTCTTTCGATGATATTAAAGATGAGTGTGTGATTTACAAGATTTTTTTACCGGTTCTTTTATAGCATACACCTCTGGTATCAAGGCAGCGGCATCGCTCCATTCTGACTGGGTTTGTCCGTAGTGAAATGCACTATTTTTTCCCTTTGGTTACAGACCAGCAGCATTGGAATACTCTCAGGATCTTCAGACTTCCTCACCAAACTGCTCACACCTCCAAGGAGCGACGTGTTGCAGGGTGACTCATTGCCATGGGTGTGTTGGATACGTGCAGCTTGCAATAGGAGTGACATGAAGTCGGGATTCCCTATGGAAAATTATTAAAAAAAAAAAAAAAAGAGCACTAATCTTTCAAAATAATAATAATAATAATAATAAAGAAAATTGGAAGTACTTTAAGTACTTTAGCATCTTTCTCAGAGTTATTTGCTGGTGTAGAAATACGGAGTTGCGTTGTTGGAGTTGATGGGTTTGGTGGGTTCTGTCCAACTTGGGGTGTTCCATGAGTTGGACTCCAAGGTCCTGATGGCTTCCCTCCAGCTTCAGATGTTCCGTGGGTTGGACTTGATGATCTTTATGGGTTCCTCCCAGCTTGGGATGTTCCGTGTGTTGGACTCAATGGTCCCAGTGGGTTCCTCCACGCTTGGTGGATTCTAATTCTACGACTGTTGGCTTTGTAACAGCTGTTCATTGAGAAACCTCTTATTCTCAGAAATCAGATTTACCTCCGGGCAGGAAGAAGCCTCCCGCGTTCGTTCTTCCTAAAATTGTAAAAATTCCTTCAAATGATTGAAACGTGTCCCACTGTTTCCTTTTTTTCTTTTTTTTTTTTTGTTTTGTTTTTTTGTTTTTTGTTTTTTTGCTCTGTTGGAAACACGTGCCGTAGCTCCAGGTATTTTTTTCCCTCTCCTTTTAATTTTGGTGATCAATGTATTAAGAATGATGACAAAAGCTCCCATGTCCCGGGTCGTGCTGCCATATCTCAGCATGACACCACAGGTGGTGGGACAGCAATTTCTGTCCGTAGCACTGCATGAAGTGCAACGTAACCGATGGACGGATGCGTTGTGTGACAGCACTGTTGTTCACTGCGGGGTGAAATGATCCTTTTGTTTCAGGGGGTGGTGGCAAAGGGAGGTGGACACCATGTTTTGGGTTGGGAATTTGCAATGTCAACTCAACATGATGTCATCTTCATGGGTTGGTGGTCCTCTACACAACGTCGCCTCCATCTGATGATGGTTCCCGACTCAACACAACATCGTCTTCAGTGATTGGTGATCTTCAGCTCAACAGTGTCACCTCCATGGGTTGGTGGTCCTCAGCTCAACGTCACCTCTATGGTTTGGTGGTTCTCAGCAACGCAGTGTCACCTCCAGAGCTGCTGGTCCTCAAGACATCATCATCTTCACTGTGTGGTGGTACTTAACACAGTGTGACCTCCGTGGGTCAGTGGTCCTCAACATAAAATCACCTCCATTGAGTTGATGATCCTCAACTCAACAAAACGTCTTCTCCATCTGATGATGATGGTTCCCAACTCAACGCAACGTCGTCTTCATTGATTGCTGAGCCTCAACTCAACATCATCACCTCTATGGGTCGGTGGTGTTCAACCCAACACAGCGTCACCACCATGGGTTGGTGGTCCTCAATTCAATGTCATCTTCATCGTGTGGTGGCCCTCAGCTCAACACAACGTCATCTCCATCTGATGATGGTTCTCAACTCAACACAACGTCACCTTCATGGCTTGGTGGCCCTCAGCTCAACACAACGTTGCTTCTGTGGGTCTCAGTGGTCCTCAACACGATGTCATCTTCATGGGCCAGTGCTTCCCAGCTCATCACAACGTTACCTGTATGGTTTGGTGGTTCTCAACAACACAGTGTCACTCCAGAGCTGGTGACCCTCAAGACATCATCTTCATTCTGTGGTTGTACTTAACACAGCGTTACCTCCGTGGGTCAGTGGTGCTCAACATAAAATCACCTTCATGGGTTGGTGGCCCTCAGTTCGACACGTCATCTCCATCTGATGTTGGTTCTCAACTCAACACAACGTCACCTTCACGGGTTGGTGGCCCTCAGCTCAGCACAACGTTGCCTCTGTGGGTCTCGGTGGTCCTCAACACGATGTCATCTTCATGGGTCAGTGCTTCCCAGCTCATCACAATGTTTCCTCCTTTGGATCGGTGGTCCTCGACTCCAGGCAGCATCATTTCCATCTGATGGTGGTCCTGAACACAACATCACCTCCATTTATGTCACCACAAATTGTGTTGGCGTTCTGCTCTGATTTCCAAACACAAAATGAAGAAGAAAGGATTTGGGGGATTCCGTTATCGGTGATGTTTGTGAAATGAGGCGCAGTTTTGTGTTTACACTCATTTTTATTCCATTTTATTTCATTTTGTTTCAGTGATCTTTTCCCAGATGTGGATCCAGAGCTGGAATTTCAACCCATGTTTCCCAAGTAGAAAATAGAATTTCAACCAATTTTTCCTACTTAAAAAAAAATGGAATTTCTTCTTTACAAAAATCATTTCTCTCTCTGACAGCAGCAGAAAAAAAAAAATGGGCCCAATTTAGGTCCCTTTTAGGGACCATTTTGGGTCCATTTTAGATCCTTTTTGGGTCAATTTTAGGTCATTTTGGGGTCAATTTTTGGTCCCTAATAGGTGTGTTTTGGGATCCCCTTTGGGGAGGATGGGGGGGTGGTCTCTTTTGGGATCCATTTTAGGTCCATTTTAGGTCACTTTTAGATTCATTTTGGGCCCACTTTTTGTCCGTTTCGGGAGCATTTTAGGTCCATTTTAAGTCCCTTATGGATCAAATTTGGGTCCCTTTTAGGGGTCCCTTTTGGATCTACTTAAGCTCAACTTTTTCTGTCCAGTTTGGACCCTTCTGGCTCCCTTGCAGGTCTTTTTAGGTCCCTTCTAATTTCATTTCCTGACCTTTTTAGGTCTCTTTTAGGTCCTTTTGACCATTTTAGGTCAATTTTAGGTCCCTTGCAGATCAGTTTTGGACTCCTTTTAGGTCCATCTTTGGTTCATTTTTTGCTCCATTTCGGGTCTCTCCTAGGTCCATCTTGGAGGACAATTTTCTCCCCAAGAAACCCAAGGTAATGAGATGCTCGTTAAGCCCCATGGACTTAATTGCCCACGCTGCCCTGTTCTTTGCACCCCTGGAGACATCTCAACTCTACTGGTGGTCCCCATCGATGTCCCCATGGGTGTCTCTCCATTGCTGGTCTCCATCAGCGTCCCCACCACTGTCCCCATAGCTGTCCCTATGGTTGGACCCCATAGGTGACCCCATCGATGTCCCCATCCACTGGTGGGCCCCATAAATGTCCCCATGGTTTTCCCCCCAGGCGTCCCCATGGGTGTCTCTGTCTCTGGTCCCCATCAGTGCCCCCATGGTTGTTCCCACAAATGTCCCCATCCGTGTCCCAGTTGGTGTCCCCACAGATGTCCCCACACTGGGTGACAGCACAGGACACAACGCCAGACCCCCACAGACTTTATTGGTGGCTCCCAGCACACCCAGGGGTCGTCCCAGCACCCCAGCTGGGTTCAGACTGGGGGTGACACGGGGGGCAACCTGTGACACGGGGGGGCTCAGAGCTGCAGGAATTCGGCCACGAAGGCAGTGAGGATCTTGCAGAGGTCCTCCATGGTGGGCGGGTGCAGGTTGTCCTCGTTGTCCTCGGCCGTGTGCCAGACCCACGGGAAGGGCAGGGGGATGAGGTGCAGCACGGGGACACCTGTGGGGACACGGGGGGGACATCAGAGCGTGGGGGGTGAGCTCCGTGCAATGGGGGAACGGTGGATGTGCTTGGGGATTTGGGGACGTGGGATATGGGGACGGGGGGGACGTGGGGTCACATGGGTGTGGGATATGGGGACACAGATATGGGGATTTGGGGACGGGGGGACATGGGGACGTGGGGTCCCTGGGAACACAGTGACATGGGGACGTGAGGGCGCGGGGATTTGGGGTTGGAGGAACATGGGGACATATGGATATGGGAGTTTAGGGACACGGGGACGTGGAGATTTGGGGACAAAGGGACATGGGATTTGGGGATGGGGGGGATGTGGAGACATGGAGGCATGGAGATTTGGGGACTTGGGGACGTTACCACGCTGCAGGAAGGGGATATGGTCGTCCTCCACTGGTCCCGGGGCCGGGCTGAGGCTGAAGAAGGGCTGGTCGTGGGGGGAGGCGTGGAGCAGCCCCAAGCGCCGCAGACGCTTCTCTGCAGAGGGGAGGGGACAGAGGGGGACACAGAGGGTGACACAGAGAGGACAGCAGTGTGCAGACCCCCTGTGACACCCCCGTCTCCATCCCTCTGTCCCCAGTCCCACCCCAATCCCTTTGTCCCAGCCCTGTCCCCCATACCATCCCTGTCCAAGCCCCCACCTCCATGTCCTTGTCCCATCTCCTCGTCCCCCATGTCCCCAACTCCATGTCTCCATGTCCCACCTCATGTCCCCATGTCCTACCCACACCGTGTCCCCACCCCCTCATCCCCATCCCACGTCCCCAACTCCATGCCCTGTCCCCATGGTCCCCACTGACCCCATGGTCCCCAACCCCACATCGCACCCATTCCCCGTCCTCATCCCAGTCCCAACCCCATCCCAACCCATCATCCCACACATCCCATGTCCCCAAAGCGTCCCCATGGTCACCCCGTGTCCCCGCACGCACCGATGGCCACGAGGCGCAGGAACCAGTGGTGGGTTTGGGGGAAGTGGCTGTGGATGGCGGGGTTCCGTGCGCCCAGAAGGTCCAGCAGCACCAGAAGGCTCTGGGGACACCACGAAGGGGACATGGGGACATCAGTGTGGCCGTAGGGACATCAGCGTGACCACGGGGACATGGGGACACCAGCCTCAGGTCCTCTAGGACTGACCC